GCGGAGCCGGTGGAGCGATGTGCGCGAGAGCTCGGCCGTGTGGCTCAGCACGACGTACGTCGCAAAGCCCGCCGTGAGCTGATCCCAGAGCTTGGGGAGCGGGTTCGCCGTCGCTGGCTGCAGAAGCGCTGCGCCCGAGACGCAGCACGTGAGCGTGCTCAGCTTGGTCGGAAGCGCCCACTGCGCTGGTGGCATCTTGATGGCTGCCGCCACCGTCATGCAATCCACATACCCTGCGACGCCTCAGCACAGTCGTATGTGTGTCATGATGGCACGGTACCGATGACGGTGAGAAGGATGCGGGGACGGAGGTCCCACGACGACTGCGCCGCGATCGCCGCGAGCGCAGTGGCAACCGACGCATGCACTTGTTGCACGGCAGTCCGCTCGAGGGATTGCTGGTCGCCCAGCCGCACGTCCACAACCACGGGATGCCACCTACGCGCTCCGTTCTTATTGCTGCCATATTGTGAAATCCAAGGACGTTGTACGCGTTCGTGGCGCCCGAGATGTCGGCTAGCGCCATGGACAGCGCTTGCACATCGCTACCGGGGACGCCAAGGAAGACCGAGATGGGAATCAGTAGCTTGGATGTCGTCTTGGGCTTGGCCCAGCTCGAGACTTGCGCGACCGCTTTCGAGATGTACCAGTGCGGAAAGAGACGCTGCTTTGTCGCCGCATCGGGATCGAGCCCGAGGACGCGCTGAATACCCGGCGTAAAGTGCGTTGGCACGTCCTTCTCGCCCCGGCTGTTGTCTACACGACATAAGACAACTTGTGCATTGCAGTAATATGTTGCGTCGTACCGTGGGGACGGTGGAAGGGGATGTCGAGACGCATAAGTGATGCTTTCCACGTCTCCAAGAGGCGCATCACATCCGCTTGCATGCGCGAGTTGGCGACGAGCGGCAGCGCGATGCTGGACCCGAGCAGCGTGAGTGGGAAGCTCGCGCGCACAGGGTTCGCCTCGCGGTCCCGAAACTCGACGAGGAGGAGGAGGAGCGCGTCGTCCGGCGTCGAGAGCACTTGGAGTGACGCGACGTCGTTGGCAAACGAGATCACGATCGGGTTGCAATTGGCGCTCTGAAAGACAAGCCCCTAGTCGCGGCATGGAGTCACATTGACGCGCGTCACATCGTACGCTCGTATATGTCTTGAGCACGCCGTGGAGGAGCGGCAAGTGCGGGCACTGCACAAGCAAGAGCGCCTTGGGAATGGCATCGCCGAGTTCCTTCCCAAGTCGAAGCGTGTCGACGAGCTAATAGACAGATTCTCCACAAAAAGGAGGTGGACGGTGTGCACCCACCATGTGCTCGGACGCCAACGCGTCATCGAGGTGGCTCGCGAAATCGGCTTCCTTGCCCGCTTGCGTCCACGTCTTGATGTACTCAAAGCCGCGCGTCACGACCAGATGCGTCCTCGTCGGCTTCTGCAAGAGGAGTGTGTCGCCGACCACGAGCGACCCGAGCGGCTGCATCGCGGCGCACTGACTCGGCACGTGCGAAAGCGACGTCGCCAAATACCACTGGCTCCACTCTACGCAGCCTCGTCAACCCGTCGTCAGACATGGGTCGTACTTCCGACAGTCGTCTCGGTGACCGGCTCGCCACACGCATCCAAGCACTCGAGCGTGACATGAAAATGCGTCTCGAGGTACGCGGCTGGCAACACATACGTTGCTTCCAACGGCGCCACGAGACGGCGCAGCGCATTGAGTGCGGCCGCTTGCACGCTGCTGCTTCTGTCCGCCGCCTCTACCGCAGCCATTGGCCACCAAGTCCGAAGTGGACACTGCACGTACGCGTCTTGGCCTCGGCAACAAACGCATCGATCGCTTCCGCGTGCGCCTACGCTCTCCGTGAGGCGGATAAATTGGACGACGCCGCCACCTGCAGCACGGCTTCGTAGAGCGCAAGGACTAAGCGCACGTCCTTGCCATTGTCGAGCGCGTCGTCGTACCGATCCAGCTTCTCGAAAACCGGGTGTACGAGCGCGTCCTTGTCCACGATGCGCGCTGCGACGCGGCCCGTGCCGAGCATGTACGTCCGGGCCACGCGCAGGCCCGAGAGCGGCTCTTCGGCCGTCCACAACAGGTGCGTGGCACTGAACCCCTCGACGCCCTACGCACATATGACGTAGGCGCGTCATTGTTTTGATGG